TGTATGTATGCATATATGTACACACACACCCCCCTACATCTATATATTTATGTATGCATACTATGTATATGTATATAGATCTCGCGCTCTCTCTCTCTCTCTCTCTGTGTATGTACACCTGATTGCAGATGGATCAGCATACGCCTGTCTGAGCTGCAGGTTCCGTCTATGTTCAAGTGTATGAAGGTGAGGCTGCTCCTGACAATCTCTGGGTCCTGTCAGCTCTACGTTTTTCCAGGACGAAGCCAAGATTGAGAACTCCGAGTCCATAGCTCCGTCTTCAGCTGGGTCGATCCGGCAGATTTAGGGCTCACAAAATCCCTTGGTGTTCTTGCACGAGCAGGTTGACGGCCTGTGACAGCTTCTCGTGCTTACGGAGTCGCTGGTTGCCATGCCAGGAGCCGTGTAGCAAGCCGACACAGGCCAGGTCAGAAGCAGGGAGTGTCGCTATGCAACCTCGACCTGCTGTCGGACTTATTGGTGAAGCGTACGCCTGCAGCAAGCTTACAGCAGCGGACTGTCTAAATGCGCATTTGTTTCCTGCCTGTGCTTGCGCGAAAGCACGAAATTGGAGCTGGGCCCGCTCAGAGTGGGAAGAGCACGCAGACTCCAATCAGTCTCATTTCCGTTTGTAGAAGTTGGTGACGTGAGCAGGTTTGTAGTGTCTTGGAAAGGGATGCAGGAAAGCAGGGTTTTGACAACCTTTAACGAGCAAGTAACACCCACGGTCTACAGTGATCCAGCAGGTCTGCGCAAGCTCATGGACGTCACGTTGCAGCACCTGCTGTGCACCATGTCTCTTGCTAAGCTGCCGCGGTGTGCGGCTTGACATGTTTGCACTCAGCATCATAGCACGCAAAATTCTTGCTTGGCACTCTCAGCAGCAGTAAATGAAACAAGGGCAGACTCCCATGCAGTCGACGAGATCTTTGCACACCGAGTGCCTCTGACTCGACACAGAGGACCTGGCTTCCACCTGGACATCTAGAACTCAACGGCAGCCCGGAGGGCGAGGTGCCCACCCCCACGTCATGTTCAAAGAGTGCAGCGCAGACTGCCTCAGCTAAAACTTGCTCAGGATGTCAGTTAGATCCCCTTACTTTCTCCTTATCTTCGCTGACCACGTGGTAGCACGGCGCAGCATGACCAGAGCCAGAACTTGCACTATTATAGCGCAGTATGCAGATGAACAACGGAAAGGCCCCACGCTCGACCACACCGAAAGAGGGGAGCTCCTAGGCAAAGACCGGCAAGACCGCCAAAGAGTAAAAGACTGAAACAAGAAGAAGTGATGATTCAGACGAACCTAGGATTTTTCAGGCCGCGGAGAAACACGACGTCCTACTTGAAGGATCATCGACTTAGTAACGTAGTCTGTATTACAGAAACTATATTTACTGAGCCCCACGTTCCTCCAAGAGCCCATGCCTCCCGCTGTAAGTTGATTCAGTAAAGATACTGGTGCCAGTGCTTGTCCAGCCAGCCTTGATCCCCACGTAGTGGTGGAACTATAGCATGTAGTAGAGTCTCGATTTACCAAGCTGCCGGAGCGACAGGAAGGCGGGGGTAGGGGACGCATCAAGTAATCATCTTCGTGCCTGATTACCGGATAGTTACAGCCGCCTGCCAGTTCATCCGGCTCCTGTAGAGTGTGGGGACGGATAGTAGTGATGCTTGCAAAGGCGCAAGGAGAAGGTCTGAAACCAAAGGGTTCTGGCATGTCCTGGCGAAGTCTACCGAACGCCTGAGACCTGAAAAGCGGGTGCCTGCAGTCCTGCCCTGCCCTGTGTCGTCACCTGAGTCCTGCACTGTTCTGTTTCTTGAGGGAGTGAGCACCAGCTCCTTGTTCGTGTAGATCTCAGATCAGGGTTCCTCCAAGTTGCGAGGCAACGAGAAAGCCCAAGACCCGCGATCGGCGAGGCCGGTACTGCTGACGCCTTGTCAGCTGCATGCTACGCGCAGTCCGTTGCAGATGTAGGCCTTCGACATCATCAGTGCCACCAGCACGGGCCTCGGTGCGCAACGACCAGTTTCGTCCAGTAGCTTGTGTTGGCAAGTGACAGTGGCACAGTGCAATGCTGGCTTTGTAGTGTCGCGCCTGCACCGCAATCGAACTGAGCACGCTCCAAGCCATTTGCGCTGAAGCTTGTCTGTGAGACGCCGCGCCATCAACTCTTGAGAGGGAGCGACGTCATGGCGGGCAAGGGCCTTCTCTCGAACATTTGCATCTGGGCCCCATGGCCCAATTCTGGAGCCAGCATGTGATAGAAGGGTCATTTAAGTTCCTTTTCGGCTAACAGGTAGCAGGTGGAAGGAGGACTTTCTCAGTCCAACAGACTGTGTTACGTTCAGGTGGCCGTCACTCTGGTGACATGGGCGATCTGCT